TCAAGTAGTTCTGAGATCTGTTCCCTAAGTCGTGCCATACATTGGAGTTTTGGTAACTATTCAGACTGGTTTCTGGCTCTTTTGAGCAGCTGCAAACCTTTGCTTGTAATCTATTAATAATACATCAATGACATTTGCTTCTGCTTTCATATCTCCTTTTTGAACTAGAGAGAGAGATTACGGCCTGCACTGAGACCTTGCTGCTGTGTGCTTCCCCTGGCACGTCTGTCAACTGCAGAGAAACGATCCTCAGACAACTGGATAAACCAGACATTGACACTAACAGAGCATGTGACTGGAGTTAAGGTCAGAGATTAGGAGAGCGTGGGATTGGGGCCTCAAAGATTTATGCACAGGGTTACAAGGGACATAACAAAGTTAAAGGTTCGTGTTATTTCACACAGTACCAGGCCTTTTATTTCACTAAATTTTCTATACTCTCCTTCAGCAAATAGTTATTTCATTTGCTAAGTATGCGATTTAAAAAAAAATAAAATTGCACATAGGCTAAAGAATCTGATCTCCAGCCCTCTGCCACATCTGATCCTGATAGATAAAACAAGATTGCAAAAATGCCTGATTCTCATCGTCCCCTGTACTCAGCACAATTTTCTAAAACAAATACTGAATAAATTTACATCCCAAGAAAAAAATTACCTTTCAAAAGAGACTGAAAACTATGACACTTCCAACTAAACTGTATAGTAAAGGCGTATTCTGGTCTGGTGCTCTTATTTTTCATAGGGTTGGCACATGCCTTTAACTCTTACATCTGAATGTTGCTTTATAATTCTATTTTACCACATATTAAGTTGCTTGTCTGTATTTACATCAGAAAAGGTTTATTATTTGAATCCGCAGCTTTACAGTAGTTATGCAAAGTAGATAAAACATTTGCAGTACAGCTTGTCAAGACAATATGGAAAACATTTTAGTCAGTTTTCAATGTATTTGCACATATTTTTAAAATGCATTTCTAAAGATGAGTAGTTTTGATGGAGAAACTAAAAGAAGGCCATGTAGTTAGACAGCAGGGAGAAAGGAAAACAGTCTTCCAAGGGGTGAGCATCCAGTGCAATATTTATGTGAACTCCTCTCAAGTTTACTAATGCCAGTTTTGCAGTAGTTCACTGAAGAATAAAGAATCACAACTAAATGGTACCAAGCAGAAATCTTTAAGAAAACTGCAGGTCCACTATTGACCAAAATATAATGTTAAAATACATACCTGTTAATATTAACACTAGAAATACCTCACACCCAGCTCAACAAAAGCTTTTCTGGATTTACATCAGACTGCTGTTTTTCAGCAAGTCATACTATTAAAGTGCACACGCATCCACTTAAAGGAAGCAGAACTTCAGTCAGAAAAAAGGGAAGGTTGAGGTAACAGTGATACATAGCACAGCTTGCCTGGCTCAGTGACAATGTGGCAGTTTGAAGTTCACGTTTGCCAACCTCATTGTGTTCCCTAAAAGCCTTCAAACAGCTGTTCAGAGCAATACCAGTATGTTACCCAACTTTAAGAAAAATAGAGTAACGTGCTCACTGGGAGTGATATTTTTTGGAGCATTTCTGTCATGATTTCTTCTGATCATTCATGAGCCCTTGAAAATTGTTGTTTTACTAAACTTTCTGTTTAACAATAGCATCAACAATGGCTACATCACTCTTACTCTGATAGATCACCCACAGCTAAGCACATAATCTGCTTCTAATTAATAAAAATATGACTAATAAAAACAGAATCATTTTTTTCTAAATATACTGCTCTTTCCGTGCTCTGCCTTTAGCCTTTTCGTGTCTTCTACTTTGAGTTCTTTCTTCCTTTTCTCAGACTTTGCAGCTTGCTCCTTCCTTTCTTGGTTTTCCTGCGTTGAGATAGAATGACAAGAAGAAAATTAAATACTAAGGGTTACAAGAGGAAAAGCCAGTTAGTATACTCTGTTTGCAATTAACAGCTATTCTAAATATGCCCTATATACACTTACAATGACATTGCTCAGCTGCTGGGGTTTGAGGGTAATTGACACAACTGAGCTTCTTGGTCAATGCTTTCACCATCTTATGTTACCAGCAAATGAGTTCATAGCTTTAACTGCAACAATTCAAATACAGACTGAAATACATTCTTCTTAATGAATCTTTTTGCCCACAAGACTCAACATTTGTTCAGTTTAATTACATTCTAGATATTTATCCCACAGCAACCTTGGTTTTATATTGTTTGTACTCAGAGACTTCTACCAGAAATTCCAACCATGTTAAACAGTAATTCAGTTTTACTTCAGGCATCCTTTAAATTTGCCCACTATATTTATGTGGTGGTGTTCAGCAGCAGAGTCCAAACCATATGGCTGGTACTGAGAGGCATCCAACTGTCAGGACGGTATAAATCTTTGGGCCTGTTGCAGACAGGTTGTATTCTGGTTTCCTTAGAACTTTTGGATCCAGGACGATAAAATTAATGTAGGAAAAGAAAGATGTTGAATGATTACTTCTAGTACAGAAAGACCTTTACTCAATGGAGAAGTATTTCTGGGTTTTGACAGACAGCACAATCATAGGGGAGAGTAGTTCTGATCAGCTACACTAAGTACAATGGGACATCAAGATGAGAAAAAGCCATTTACTTAAATGCTTGTGGAATCCTTGTTCCAGAACTACAGTCATCATCAGAACGCTGCCTTCACCACGTGGGAGCTCACCTGCTTTTAATTGCAACCAGTCCATAGCTAATCTACATGTAGGTATCTCAGTAGTTGTTGGGTTGTTGTCATAGAGACTTGTACTGCTTTATCATATCACAGAATTTACTAATGTCCTGGAAGATGGTGATGGGTGCAAATAAGATTCTCAGTGAGACACATCTGGTCTCCTTTGCAGGGAGCTTAGCAGCGGAAAAGACTTTTTCTCATAGTACTGATAGATACAGTTAATAGCTGCAGATCACCTGCCACTATTTCTACGAGCCAGACAAAAGTCCCAGGAAATGTGCATAATTTCCTCAGATCTTTTACAGAAGGTAAAAGCTGGGATCATTTCTTCCACAAAACTTTTAGACCAGTTAGTCTAGAAGTGTTCCAGTTGGGAACACTGCAGGTTCAAGGTTATGGGGACCTCCTCTGGATGCCTAAAAAAAAAAAAAAAAAAACAACATACAACAAAAACCAACAAACAGTGCTTTCTTGGCAAAGAAATAAAAAGACATTTGTCCTGAGGAGAAAGTGCTTCCAAAAGAAAGATGCAGTTGGTGAACTTTTAGGGTGAGGGTAAAAGCCTTTCATCTTTGTATGCCTCCTACGTGCCTGCCTGATAAATTCCTGCTGTGCCTTAGCATAATGTCTTAGAGATCTTATGGTGGCTGAGAGACTTGGAGATCTGCAGGCCCTGGGAGAATGCCTGCATGTAACACACCACAAGAAATAAAGGAGATCAGTTCAGGGTAGATATGTTGTCTAGCTATTTTGAGCAGCACACACTGTACCAAATACAAACCAAAACACTTCAGGAAAAAAAAATATGGATTGAGCAAGCCTAAACTGAATTGTACAGAGAAATTAAAAACAAAGCCATAGAAATCTGACACAAATATGCTGTTAACAGCGTTACTTCAACACAAGAAAGTCCACTTAGGCAGAGGAATGCACATTCACAATCCTTTCTCCATCTCCTGGATTACTGAAGACAGCTGTATGGATGATATTAAATAAAAAGGGTTTCCCTTTGGATTTACACTATGAGATGTCAGATACATATTTGATCTCTGAATTTGAAGATGCTACATTGACAACTCTATATCCTCACACTATCTAAAGCACATCCTGTTCCAACACCCTACTGAGGAGCAGCTGTTTCAGCTTGGTTATCTGGGAGCACTCGGAACCTATCCCCATGCAGAGCTGTTGGTGTAATCTTTGTAATGATCTGGGTACTTCTTAGAGCAGATTTGGTTTAACTTTTCTTCTCCTTTTCCTGAAATTGAATGGCTTCTTTGTAGGGAGCTCCCCTCTTTGAACAGCTGCAAGAGCTAAGAGAAATCAAATGTTTCTCCCAGCCCTCCATAATCAAACTGTTTCGTTCTCCCCATAATTTTACAACTCAGTTCTCAGTGTAGCTTCAATTCTGAGTTTTATCTTTGAGCAGAATGAAAATAGTCTCCCTGTCTCCTTCTTCCTGCCATCTGCTCCTTTTATCTTTTGAGAAGTAGGGAACATTCAACCCTGTGTGAAGACCTGCTCCTTTCCATTGTGTCAGTTGTGGTGTTTGAAACACTTTTTTTCCCCCTCTTTAAGTAGATGGAGATCAAGTAGTTTCATATTATCAATTTCCTATGTGTTGCTCTGTTCATTATCTGACGGATAACAAAGAGCCCTCAGGGAATGAAGAAGCACTTTGTTTGAAAATAGTAATAACAAAAAATTTCCAGACTGTCTGGGGCACTATACTTTGCTTCTGAGCCTGGTGGTGGCATTGCTTGCAAAACTGAAGCCCAGTGTCTCATAGAGGAGCAGGTTGTAGAAACATGAAGATAATCTTCTCCATCCTTTGCCTTCAGACACTACTTAGAAGCTCTCTCACTTTCACTAGAAGCTCTGCTTTGCCCTGAAGGACCTCTCACTCTCTCTTGCCCTGCCTTTGCCCAGAACAGATACTCCTCTATTTTGGCAATACTTGTTGAAGGCAATTCTATCCTTGGGCTCTGCTGAAGTCAGTAAAGCACATCTATGAAGCCACTGTCATCTGGCATTAAGAAATCCTTAGACAAAGTGCATTAATTCAGATACTGCATAATCAGTATGTTATGCAAACCTTTATGGTGAATTTGTTTTCTTACCTCCTAATGCAAGGAGCGAGCCAATGGAACAAGCCTATAAGCCAATGGGGTGCCAAATGCAATCTCTTAGGGAAAACAGCGTTGTAGTGGACATAAAGCTTGTAGGTTTGAACTAATGCAGTAAAATGCCAACATGTAAACATATTATCCAGTTAGACTTTGCCTAAGAAAAGTTATCCATTTCTAAACAGTCACAAATGCAAACCACCTGCAAGGCCTTGAGGAAGAGTTCCCTGAAGGTTTTCATTGTGTTAAATACATCTTCCAAGGACATTTTTTTTCGGTCTTCACAAAGATAGTCAGCTAGTTCTTCTTTCTTCTTTTCGATGTTGGCCAACTCCTCCTGCAGGTCCTTTGAAGCACTGACACTGCTCTGAGACACAGTTTGCAACAAATTTATGCACCTTAAGTGATACGTTTTGAGCTGCCCAGAATTGTAGAGTCATTGGAAAAGACCATCTAGTCCAACCCAGTTAAGAGCAGGTTTGATAAACCTGACAATTAAGACTCAGTGACAGCATGCTACGTTTTCTTAACTGAACCATGTGCATTTCCCCCAGTTCCATTTGGACCAGGGCAGCTCATTGTATGCTGCCACTTTTATCATGTAACCAGGCAAAAATTTGGCACAAACTGGGATGACTTATCTAGGGTTACACAGAACCAGAATTTACCCCTTTTAGTTTTAGTTACATAGGCCTGTTTTGAGAAGTTTTAAAGCTAGGACGTCTGGAAATAAACACATAAAAACATACTGTAAATCTGTTCACTCACTTTTTTTTCCTCTAAGAGCAGTGAGACAGAACATGTTACTGTCCCATATATATTTGTAGCTGGATCACAGGTTTCATTTTTAGCGTCTTCCTTTCTTTTGCCCACACACATAGCTAACTGCCCCTCAGCTGTTTCCTTATCACAGTATCACTTTGCAGAATTGGAGAATGAACAGGACTCTTCCTCCACCCCAGTGCAGAGGGAGGTTGTTAGGACCCCTGCCCACAGACCCCTGTGTCCATCGCAAGCTGAATTTTGGAGCCTTTGAGAAGAGATTTAAAGTGATTGGGAAGCAGGGTGCAAAGAACCTCGTGCCCCCTTTACCTACTTGAACAAGTTTTGTGTGCTGTATTTTTAAATCCTCTGTTGACAAAAATAAACGCTTCTCTATTTCCAGCAGTTTCTTCAGATTGTCACCTGCTTCAGCCCGCATAGCGTCAAAGTGGAACCTGAAAGGCTCACAAAAGGCACAATGAAAATAAAGGGGTGAGTCTTTTGTTTGTTTGTTTTTCATTTAAAAACAATTATAAAAACAGTTCTGCAAAAGAATGCAGGATTAGTTGTCTAGCAAACCCTGCTTATGCAGGTAATTTTCCTCTATGTAAGCCCTTTTCTCTGCTGCTCAAACCCTCATCTGAGAAAGCAGCTGTGCTTCTGCCCTCACCATTTCCTGGGGCAGCACAGGGAAGAACCTCTCTGTTCAAAAGCCTCCAAAATTTTCAGTCTATTTTTATTCATAGGCAACACACACTCAACTCTCGTGCCAGTACTGTCAATAATTAAATGGTTCTTTTCCTTGCTGTTTTTCTCCATTGTCTATTTATAGTCTGAAGGGTTATCTCAAAGTTCATTTACCTCACATGGAGGACCAAACATATTACAGTGCAAACATGTTTTATACCTCAAATATCCACATTTACCAAAAGAAAATCACTGATTCATCAAAACCTGATGTTGTCTAACAAGGTGCATCCAGATATGAACAGCAATAGAAGAACCCTGTGCAGGATTTGCACTGTAAGCACCTCTCCCAGGGCTGACTAATAAAACAATTTTATAAGTTTGGGGGTTTGGCTAAATTTAAGAGCAATTATTTTACAAAAAAAGAGCACATTTATTGCATCAGCAAGGTTTAAATTCAGATAACAAAGGTACCTCTATTATTGCACATAGAAGAAAGAAATTTGTGCTTCAGAACAACATCCAACAGAAATTCTGCACAGATATCAAGGAAAAGCCCTGACACTTCATATATTAGTGCTTCCTGCATAATCAAATCAAAATACTTCTACCTTATTATTTAGCAGCTACTTAACAATGTCAATTTGCCCCAGATTTACAAGTTACACTTGCTTCTAGTTACAAGGAAGATTAAAACACTTTGAGGTTCCTATGAATTCATAACAAGATTAGAACTGTTAATCCTGCTGCTATACATCTGTATTTTGATTAGTGCAATTCAGCATGTCCCTCATGTGATTCTTCTGAGCTAAACAAATTCAGCTGGCTTTAGGCTCACCAAAACCAGACTTTTTTTCTTTTCACCCACTTGTACTGTAGAGAAGTGCTGATATTTAACTCAGGTCCCTGCTTGCTAGTAAACTGCCCCATTCTGTTTTCACTCCAGCTTTGCACACATAGTCCTTATGGCCCGGCATAAGAGTATGATGGAGCAACTTCAGGAAATATTTATTTTACAAGATATAGAAGAATACGATCCTTGAAATCAAGTTCACTATTTACTTAGTTTCATTTCTAAGGCAGTAGAGGAGCATCTGAAAGAAGAATCACACAGAGCAACACATGAAAAGTTGTAACCAGATTGATTTACAAATCTCAGAACTGTTTGATTTTAGAAGGGAAACGCTCTCACACACTGGAGAAGTCCTGTAACCTTATTACACCACCATAAAATGACTCAGCTTGTTGTTAGCTTAAAAGAGGCAATTCATACATGACAAAAACAAATAATGTCCTACCCTGCTGCCTTGGAAACAAAGTCAAGATCTCTGGGAAGCTGCAGCAGGTCATTGTGGTTTTTTTCAACCTCCTAAAATTGAAGTAAAAAATCATTACCTTTCACTGTTTGTCAAAGGGCAGGAAAGTCTTTTAAGCTGGACAATATCTGGATTGAAAAATGAATGCTTCAGTTTTTGTCCTTATAAGTGCTGGGGTAAGTTTAGCCTTGTTCATTTCTTTCTGTCACAGTTGGCAGCCGTAGGGAGGAAAGAAGAAGGAAAAAAAGGCTCTTAACTGCTCAGGCTTACATCCCATGTGCTGCCACAGCACGCAAGCTGACCTGAGATTTTGTCTTCATAACACTAAAATTAACCTCATCTGACAGATGCATTTGGAAGGCACGTCCCCATGAGAGAGCAGTTGCAGAAGAAAAAGAAAACACAAAGCAGTCATGTTAAGCAAACCTGAGGAAGAAAGCTAACACTAGGTTTTCTACGCATTGCTGTTAATGGGTTTCATCTTTATTTTTGCCCAGGGAGCGGTGGCAAAGCGCTCATTGTATTTCAGATACAGAGGCTCACTCTTCTGATGTCTTTGGTGGGTAGTGCTGAAATTACAGCCCCTTAGCTTCTGGGGAATTAATAGTAGAGAATAACAAACACAGAAATTATTTTACAGTTTTGTTCTACCTCCAAAATGTGGTGAAGCAGAGTAATGTGGCTTTGGTTTGCTTTTGTATCTGTTAGTTTGAGCAAGGCACTGATTTTAAAACCTCCAGCATCTCCAGTGTGATGCCCCTGGAAGATACAGAAAAAAAGTTCCTTGTGTTTGTATCTGAGGCTATATTTGGAAATAGAGAAATTAATTAAAGAAAAAATACCAGCCTACTTACATAGTTGAGAAAGTTTCCAACTTTAAGAATCAACTGACAGAAAACCGGCAGTCGACGACTGGTAAGAAGTGCTGAGGAATAAAAAAGCATTCTCAGTAAATTACATGGAGCTGTCTGAAGCAGGGTTTTCCTTACATTTGACAGTGAGTTAACAAAATTATCATCCAAGATTGTGTAAAGCCTCCTTTATGAATTTGGAAATCAACCAGTACAGAAATAATTCAACTTAATGAAAGTAGAATGAATGAAGTTTCTGTTTTAGTCTCTTTTCTACAAGTATACGGAAAACCAGTTTTTCCATCAAGTATGGATGTGTCATCACTGCAGCTGCTTATAAGGGAGACCCACTAAATGAGGCAGTGCTTAAATTGGCAAAAGTTGATAGCCTGCATTTTCAGTACATTTATTCTAGGTTAAGAAAAGCATAGCGTTTTTTTTCTTTGCCTCAATGCCATCCTTTAAGGCATAACTGGTGTTAAAACAAAAACCAAGGCTAATTTCTTGTGAAGGGAGTTTCTGAAATGCTGTGAACAGGGACATTTGTTTTGGAAGCCAGTACAGATTGTGATGCATCAACCAGCATGCAACCAGCATGGATGGAAGGAAAACTGGAACCGATTTGTTGTTAGGGACAAAAATCATTGCTGTGGACAAAAATTCAACCTCTACTCAAACAACATCTGGCACTGACACGTAGGAAATTTCCTTCTTCTGTACAGGGGTCACTGATGGAGAGAGGCAGTGTGTTTTATTTATGTTGACAGAAGCTCCACTTAAAGCACAGCAGCACAAATTGCCATTCTACTGAGTGAACTCTAAGGGGAAGAATCTGCTGTTTTGATTGTTAACTACATTTTCTGCAATTAAAAGGTTAATTTTTATCAGATCATAGCTTGTAAAATCACTGATGCCATTTCTAATAGCATCAATATTAGAAATAGAAGCTCCCCGTGACTGAGCACTGGCCATAGACACATCTGTGATACACTTACTTTCACAAGCTGTCCTGATGGCTTGTGCTTTTGGCCACAGACACTGCAGAAGAATTTGTGTTTCCTCACAAATCAGCATACATTCAATTCGCAACTGGTAGCTAAAAGAAATCAGCAGGGGAAAAAGAAAAACAAACTATGCACCTAATTAATCAAATTCAGCAGAGAATAACCCATTTTAGGCAAAGTGCAGTACCATCATTGTTATGTTCACTTTAATGTTCTGACACAACATGCTTCTCACTGAACTGCATTATAAATAAACCAAACACTGAGGCATTTCCAAAGATGCCTCTTTCAGAAAGCAATGTTATGCTGAAATCTGGCAGTCGTTTCCTTGCATAACAAGGCAATAAGTTTTGATGATTCCTGGGCAGTGCTAGCTAGGATTTTTGTTCTTCCTTTTTAATTCCAAAATAGAAATTCTGATTCTATTTCAGTGATGCCCTTTAATGATATTTATGCCTAGCCATGGATTAATGTTGTGGAAGACCCATAAAAACATTCTCTAAAGTAATTTTAAAGCTAGCTGTAACTTTGAGAAAAAATGCCACATTTTAACTACTGCATTTTCAAAAAAGGCATCTCAGGCTATGGGACAGGCAGCTTCTCATATTTATGGAGGCTGTTCCTATGATTTACAACAAATTACACTGTTTTTAAGAGCAGCACAAAGATATGTATGCATCTCATCTGACCTCATAAAAGTCAGGAAATTCCTGGAAGGTGGTCAAAGCACAAGCAGTGCTGTGATTCACCCTTTGGTTTGTGGGATCCCTTTGGTGTACCAGTCTCTGGAACAGAGATGGAGTAAGATCCTGGTGGCTGGGTTCCGTCTGCAGCTTTGTGTCATGCAGACAGTGCAGCACAACAGTCAGAAGTTTTCTCAGTAGCTTATTAATACCCAGGTTAATTTAACACTAGTTTTCCAAATATGTTTGACCTTTGGGAAAGAAACGTTTCTACAGCTAGCTGTTCAATTTACAGTCAGATTATTTATCTTGGGCACTGACTGTTAGAAACATCCCTCTAGTACAGGAAATGGAGGTGTTGATTCTTACAAGTCAAACTCAAGGATTGAAAACAAAGGCAATTTTGCTTACCTAGGAACCTCCAAGAGATGGAGATAAAACTGGTCTGCATTTGTTAGTTCTGACCTTTCTTCTTTGCAAGATTTCAGTTTGTTTATCTAGCAACAACAGAAACAGCAAAATACCCATAGAGTTATTTCTGGTGCCCAGTGCAGGATCCAGTCACAGTTTCTTGCTCTACCAGTGAAAATATTTCAAGCCAAGCAAGCACAACCAGCTCTGATATGGTAGCAGGCTTCGTAATACCTCATGGCTTTCAGGCAGCAGTTTAAGTAGCTGTTTCAGTATCCCAGCATCAAACCTGGATCTGTCCCCTTTCTGAATCATGTTAGCAATCTCTTCATTGGAGCTGTGAGAAAGAGAGATGCTGTGAGCAGAAGAGACATTGAAGCCTGAAGGAAATTTTCTAACCATTTAGATGTGCTTTCTGAACTTTGTTCCTCTTCACGCAGCAAACCCAGAGGGCTCTCCTCTTACTGCATCCAACATCACTGAGGAGAGATTTACGCTTGAATCCTTCACCACTTCCAGCAAAGCTCAGGCTAAAAACAGATAGCTCTCCTCCTGCTGACAGATAGTTAAGAGTATCTCAGAGAGCCTTACTCCAAATCTTTGCCTGTAACTTTGGCAGTCCACATGTCTTTGAAATGAGTCCAGACTGCTCTACTTTGGGCTCAGATCTGGCTGTAGGGCAGTTCCATCCGTCATGGTGGGGCTCAGCTTGCTGAACCACAGCCACTAACTGCCCTGAGGAGAGCTTCACAACTACCCAGGGAATCATGCAGAAAGAAGAAATAGCAACTGGGTTAGGTTATTCACAGTTCTTCCCCACTGAGAAGAAGAATTTGTAATGGAAAAAGAATTTGAAAAAAAATCCTTCAGACAAACTGTGGTTTATTCTCAACATAAAGGCTGAATTTCTTTTCAAAGGCCTTCTAATATGGGCTGTTGCACAAAAACGCAGGCATCCATGGACTTCATCCTGCAGTATTTCAGGGCATCTGAAAATAATTCTATTTTACTAGGAACTAACACAGATTCCTTTCTTCTGCTTCTTTTCATTCCAGTGTGAAGACTGTCACTTACCAGATTTCCATTGATTAATTATAGAAACTCTTTTCTATTAATAGAAAAACCGAACAAAAATTGTGAATGATTTTTGGACCTGAACTTCTCAGGATGTCTCTTTCCAAGTTACTTAATTTTTAATGTTCAGTCAGGAATCTTGACTCCTTGCTAAGAAAAGATAGTGGTTACAAAATGTTCCTGCTACATTTCATTTAATGTCTGAAACATACGTACGTACATCAAACAAATATACTTATCTCCAACCTTACCACTTAAATTGCTTCAGAAATATACTCAGAAGGAGACTTTTCTTTGGACTAATGAATGTGACCTGCCAAAAAAAAAAAAAAAAAAAAAAAAGAAAAATGCAGCCACCTGCCTTAATTTTAACAGAAATTTTAGAGCTTCTCTTGTTTGTTGGGCTAGATTCACTCTTCTCCAGCAATAACATTATCATCACTCTTAATTGAACAATTTACAAAGCTAACAGTTTACAAAAGTACATGTAATAACATTTGAGAAAGGCAGAGGCATAGAGAAGGGCACAGATTTGTCTAGAATAATGCATTTTTTTAAGAATTGACACTCTAATTCCCAAGTTCTTCCATTCTAAAGTACTGTACTGTACTCAGAGTTACTGCAACAAATACAATTCTGGACCTCTCCTGTTTCTGTTTCAAGGCAGCTGTAGGCAAAGCATACCAGAATATCTCAGCTTTTCTACTTTGTTATAGAAAATTGCCAACAATAAAGAGTGAATAAGCTTTTCACATTTGCCAAGCTGTACAGAAAGTGAGCAGTCCAAGTACCTGTTTTGACTTCTTTGCTGGTCTTGTCTCCCTTGGTTTTGTTGGTGAGGCACAGAAAAGTAGCTCCAAGCTTGTGTAGTCAGGCTCTACAAGCTCCTTGCTGCCATTTGGTACCACAGCCCACATGGAGCGGCTTTCTAGAAGAGATCAACACTTCAAGATGGATTAACAGAGAGAGGAGCGCTTTCAAGGCACCGTGATAAGTAGAAATAAAACAGAAGGTAAACAAAACGTGACCATGGAGGTATTTAAGAGATGAGTGGACTTAGCACTAAGGAACGTAGTTCTGTGTTGGGACTTTGGAGGTCATTTTAATGGATGGATTTGGTGATCTTGAAGCTCTTTTCTAACCTAGATGATTCAGTGACACTCATTAGCCCTGGTCTACTGTTAATTATTGAAGATTTGCATACACCAAAGACAGCCTCCCAAATGTTTGAAGGACAATTAAATCTGGAAGACTATCTCCACATGTGATTCACTAAAATGAAGGCAGCAGATCAACTCAATTGTTCTTTTTACTACTACTACTACTACTGATGGACTACCCAGTGCAGAATTGTGAGAGCCACACAGGGGATGTTGCATTAGTTAAATAAACTTAAGTATCTCTGGACAGAAAATAAAAACTCCAAAACCCTGGGTTATTATAGGATCACTAGAAGCCACCTGAATAACACACAGCAATTCAAAGTATGAACTTATCTACAACACTGGAATCTTTAACAAAGGATCTCACCTCCTTTTTCTTCAGGAGAGATTGCAATAGTATAACTGAAGATGTTAGATTTGAGTCTGAATTTGGATCATGACCTAGAGAAGACGACTTGAGCCCAAACTGTTTTTAGCATGTGTATTTATATGTTTTATCATAACAGCAAGTTCTTATCTCTCTGATTTCCCCCTTTCTTTGTGACAATGGAGAACTCTTACAAGATGTATCATGAGTTCTAAAAGCTGCAGCAAAGTGGAAACTTTCAGCATTCTCTTTGCTGAAAGGGGAACAGGCCATGCAAAGCCCTTTGTCAGATCACATTAACCACAAACCTTAGTGTTATTTTTCATGGAAAAAAAAAAAAAGAAATTAAAAAAAAACAAACACACATAGCAGTGGTCAGAACAAAATGAAGTTGGAAGCTATATCCTGCCCTGAGCCTATGTGTTCCTCAGCCCTATTGAGGAGGGTTTTCCTGGATGATGCATCTTCTGGCTGTGCAAGGGAAAAACAAAACAAAAAAGTAGTAAATGCTTCAGCTGAAACAGCAGTCAGGGATGGCATGCCAGGAGTTCGTTAGAAAAAAAGCTCAAAGAATCTCAGGGCATTGCTTTTCCACACATCTTTCCACTCAGTGCAATTCAGTGTGTTTTGAAAACCGTAATTAAACTTCACAGCATCACCTAACAATGCTGTGGAAATTAAGAAAAAGAGAAAAAGACATTTTAGTGGCCAACAGAGCCTCAATTCAGTGCTTTGCCCAAACTATTATTTCGTTCACTTTGTCCAAATTTAGTGAAGAATTTGGCTTTCCCTATCTGTGATTATTGGCTTTTTTTTTTTTTTTCCTGTAGGACAGAGGTTGAGCAATAGGAGCACTTGTATGACCTGACGTGCTGAGCCAAAGCCTAGCTCCCAACATTAGCATCAGCCTGGTTGTTACAAATAGGCACGTACGTCTCACCACGTCAGAGGGGAGCTTCTGCCAGTGAAACACCTTCATCCTTAGCTTCGGTGTCTTCTTAGGGCAGGGCTGCTTGCTGTATCCACAAGTAAAATGGCTGCACTCAGGATTACTGCAGAGCTGGGGAGGTGGGAGTGATGGTGCATTTATGCCAGGCATGAGAAGGGGTGGGGGAGGAATCTTACACCTAGGAGGAAGGAATGGAGATGGTGGAAGCAATGGTAGCAGAGCTGGCATAGCAGGCTGCCCTTGGGAAGGTGAGGAGACACCTTGCTGGGGTGGTGACGTGTTCCCTGGACGTTGCTGAGGCTTCTTGGAAAGGCTGATTTTTGGAAAAAGAGTCAAATCTATACTAGGATTCTCCACTTCCAAGTCCATGTCAACCTGAATGCATTTGTTCACCTTCTCAACAGATCTTCTGGGTAGTGATTTGCGGTGATTCAGGCACTGTGTGCTTGTTAGCAGGTTCTTCATGCTGTCCCTTGGTTCCATATTGCTGCCCTATGAGACAAGGAGGAAATGCAGAAATTAACAAGGTTCCCCACAGCTGTTGGTTACTGCAACATCTACAGAAAGACAGAGAATTAGCAGTCAACTTCCTATCAAGACAGACAGTATTTTTTTTAATCCACCAGTAGCATTTCACAGTTGTTTCAGCTCTGTGAGTCAGTAGCAAGACAGTACTTCTAAGATAAGGCTCATTTGGGTCTTTTGATCCTTCTACTTTCTTGTTCTGACATAGAAAGTTAGGAAGAGCAAGTGCCATCAGCACTATAAATCCCTACCTGGTTGCTTTTTTGGCCCTGTTACTCAGCCGTTCAGTGGAGTTCCTCTTTTGAAGAGGGAAATGAATTCTTCCTGCAGGTGCTGTGCGCAGGGGACTTCTCAGGCAGCAGGGACAGAGTCACTTATTCCTAAGAGACCACATTACCACAACTTAGAATGACTGCAGAAGGGTGGGGATTTTGAGAGAAACATTAGCCTAATAAATTAAACAAGCTGCAGCTGAGGAGAACTCAGCTGAACTGCTTAGAGAGTTGTGATCCCCTAGGGAAAGGACTGGGAAGAATAAAAATAAATAATATTGTCTTATTTTACCCTTTAACCATATTTTAAGCTAGGGCAACTTTTTATTTTTGCCCTGAAATTGTAGAGTTTTTCTCAAAGCTTCTTGTACAATACTACACAGAAGTCTCTATTTACTTGCATGTCTGGTTTTAGACATGGAACTGGACCTGCTAAGGTTAGCAGGGCTACTTGCTGGTTTGTGGTCATATTTTCTTGACTGAATTATTCTTTCTTTAGCAAACAGTTATATATTTTATGCCTAAATAACTTCCTAGGATACTTACACTTAAGTAACTGAAGTTGCCTTGTGATTTCTCTCTTAATTTCCATAGTAATGGCTATCAACGCTGGTAGAAACACCCCATGTTGATAAGGGAGTGATGAGCAAACCATCAGCGTTCCACAAGCAGCACAATTAGAGGCTATATGTAGAAGGAAGCCAAGTCCTCTGTTACCCCAGTCCTTGCACAAGTCTTTAACAAAACAAATTTGAACAGTATAAGCAGTTCTGATGGAGTCAGCTGGATAAACACTTTCACTTTTACACTAAGCACAGGATCAGTTGGGAAAATACCATGTTTATACTCCCAAAGGACTAGATTAACAATTATGAATGACCATTTTCTTCCTGGCCCAGCAATTCTAAGTAATGACTTCTACGGACAAAATTATCTTAAGGGAGCTGCGTTAAAGCCTACAATTGAGGCTTCTCTATTCTAGAGTGCTCCTCTAAAGCATCTCCTGTGATTGAAATAGTTTGTCTTGAAAGCCTAGCAATTTGTATTGATGATAGCATCCAGCCCTAATGACAGCCTCGGTAAAACTGTGAACCAGTGAATCCAATGCATAAGGAAGATAGAAATCTTTCGCTTTAAATTTTAATCATAATTTGGTGATAAACGATTTACACTAAGAAACGTTAAATATTAAATCAACTGGAAAATAGCTATTGATTTACACATGAAATGGAAGGTAGATGTAATAGCTAAGCCAAGGAGATATAATAGAAAATGAGAAATAACTGTATTTTCTGTTTACTTGAATTAATTTTAGTTGCCATTCATAAACATATTTTTTTAGCACAAATAAGCACTAACACTTCCCCAAAGGTAAAGCAGGATTACTTTTAATTTATGTCAATGACTTAATATATCCCCCTCAAGGCCTCACTATTTTTCTGCTGAACTTGTGCAGATGTTTGTTATTACATTATCAAACCTCGTCCCCAAGGGAGAGATTTGGTGCTACGAAAGAACCAATGAGGAGCTACTCATTTTCTGCCAAAAATATTAGGAGTAAAATGACAGAAAATCTGATTAGAAATAATATAGTTAAAATTTTGCTGCCTATTTATATTAATTAAGCCATTAGAAGAATCAATAAAGCACCACTAATTAGGAAGGTTTTTCTTCCTTCTAACTAGACCCTTCCTCTAAATCACAATAGGCATTGTAAAGGAAACCTTTGTTTTGTAAAATAAAAATATTACACAAGAAACAACAAATATGCTTTGAATGTAAACAGGTTTATAATAATGTAATAAAAGATTACACTTCTGAGACTAGAGAAATTCCTACTTTTGAAAGATTAGAGCTTCAGTATAGCTTCAAAGCAGAAATAACTTACATTGCTGATACTGTTCAAATGAGCTCATGAGTATGAAGGAATTTTACCATCTCATGTAAATATATGCACACTTGTCAATGCAACCAAGTAAGGACTGGCTTGCTCCTGAAAGCTATGAAAGCAAGGTAATTGCTTGAGACCATTTAGGCAAGGCAGGGAATGGAGACCAATTCACCATTCTAATTCTGATGATACAGTTGAAATCAATTAATTTACAGTTAACTTTGAAGTTGTTTTCAGTACTTTGTTTGAGGACTACTACAACATAGACTCTCTTTTCTACTTGCTTACTAGTGCACTGAAAATGTACATGCTTCTTGTTTAGCTCAGAAAGATGAGTTGCGTTTTGATAGGCTAGGATATAAGCTTTTAAGTTTGATCAGAAAATCTGCTTAACCTCTATGTCTTGGGCCACATGAGTGCTCTCATTTTCTTTTTCCTTTTTTAGCATTACTGATGAGCTGATACGGGGCTATGTTATCAGGTAAGAGCTAGTTTTCTTTCTAGCTAAAAGTTCTTCTATTAGTCGCTATTATGCTAGAAGTGGAGATTCCAAGAAGCACTTCACAAAACCTGGTATTTGCCCTTGTAAGTCATTCCCAATTAGAATATAATTTGAAGTTGATTAAAAACACTATGTCTACAAACTTTCAAGGTAACAATCAAAAGAATATGCAATGAGTCAATTTGTGTAGCTTCAGATATTTTAGACGTGCTGTTTGCTGAATAGCTACAAGTGAGCTATAACCACAGATAGCATTAATCAGTCATGCTAAACTGAGGTCCTTCACTAGTACAGAGCTGTTGCTCAGTGCCTCCTGATAGGCTACACTTGCTGTGGTTTGGATTTGTGTTCTTGATTGCAGTAAGAGACTTATGTCATATCCCCCATTGTTGACTATTAAACAGATGTGATTTAACCTTGATATTTAAGATTACTACAATGATAAAGAAGTTAAAGAAATTAGAGATCTGTATTTTTTCTTGCTCAGACAATGTTTATTGAGTATCGTGTTGTCACAAGGCTTCCTTTCATCTACATTCCTGCTGTTTACAAGGGTTTGCTCCAATCTGATTTCAGGTCTTACAATTATATTGTTCCTTTCAAATTTGTTATAATGACAAATGTCTTTTGATGTAACTGATTTTGTGCATTATCAAAATTATTTCTTTTGTTATATTGTTAATCAACAGTCGTCAAATTGTTACCTACTGCTTCTGTTTTACAAATGGAGAAACTGTGGTATAGAGAAATGATTTGCCTGCAACCATGGCTGCCAAGTCTATGCGTTTGATGCTTCTAGGCTCAAGCCTAGTGATGGAGTTAACAAAAACTTCTTTATGGGAACTGGCTGCACTTCTTAGCAGCTGGCAGAACGATAGGAACCTTGGGATCTGCTGTAGGTGGAGTCTGGGCTAGCAGCAGCTGTGGATGGCTAACACTGAGTGAAACTGTGCTAAGACCTCTGAGCTGGTCATTGTGTGCTGGGACAGAGAGGCATTTCAACCAACGAGCCATGCAATAAGGTGTGAAGATAGGAGATGTATTGTAGGACTAACTGAGGACTTGGTGGTAAGTAGGGATGAACTTTTCAAAATGAAAGGGAATTTCACAAGTTACTTTAGTAGGGGCTTATACACGTGAAGGGATTGCTGGCAGGATATAATAGCTTTAGTCGTTAGTTGTTTGCTAGATTTGGGATAGGTCATGGTTTGGAAAAGATTACTATATTAGCTGCCATTTGATCTAGGTGTGGTTATGCAGACTTGGGCAGGTAGATGTGTCTTGTGGAACTCAGGGTATCTTTTCTATCCTCTAGACCTCTGGAAGAAAATAGAGCAGCTGAAATTACCTGGAGGCAAAAAAAAGTCCTTCAGTTCTTTTCTTCCTAGGATCCTTCCTATTGAGGTGATATTTTAGAGAAACAAAGCATGTATAGCTGAGATCCAGGATGGGTTTGTGGACTGCCAATGCAATGAATATACTGTTATTTTAGGGGCATATATTTTTGAGCATTATCATACTGTTGTTTCACCAGAGAGACTCGAAGTATAAACCTGAAAGAGTTTCTAGAATCCTATGACTCGCTTTTTTTTTTTTTTTTTTTTTTTTTTAAATTATTCAGAACTACTCATTTCAGTTTCTTGCTAAATCAAGAAAATTACGAATATTTGTTGGGAAGTACATTGGACATCATTTGTCCAAGCTCTCATTCAGAGAAGGACTGTCACCCCCACCACTAGAGATCAGCTCAGCTCTTGTTTTGTCTGACTGAGCCATGAAAGCCTTGAAGAATGGAGATTATGGGATGTGGCAGTCTATATAGGAAAGGTCTGTTGGCCACAAAGGATAGCTCTTGAATATTGGGTGCTATATTGGGTTTTATTTTGATTACAAAATAGACTTCTGGATTTCAAAGGATTACAGCAGCATATGCAGATTTTTCTCCCTTTTGCCTGTGCAACCTCTTTTTTTTCTTTCTGCTCTCTATCTATTCTGACTGCTGGATTTGGTAATTGCTTGTCACCAAATCATGGCTAAACTCATTGCAGATTATGAAGCTGCTTAAGTGCTAAACAAGCACATCAGGTTCTGCATGCTGAGAGATAAGCAACTGTATGTGATGTAGCTGTCAAAAGCAAAGTGTGTTGATGCTAGAAGAAATCCTGCTTTGACAGTCTGGGAGTCTATCAAAACTGACTTGATAGGAGCTGACTGTCACAAGTAATTTTGCCGACTTTGAGTAACGTAGGCTGAGTCTGCTTGAAGTCTCCATTAG